AACATATTTTTCTTAAATATATGCATGCATGTGTTTGTATTTATATATACACTTAAATATACACAGTATACACGTACTGTATATTACGTAAACAAAAACTTATTTTGGATGCGATTAATCGCGATTAATCGTTTGAAAGCACTTAAGCATTAGATAGATTTCATGCAGAACTTTCATTTTGTATTTATTGGTGTATTCAATTTTAATATTAATTTTACAATTATACTATATATTGAATATATGAAAATGTATTATTATCACTTGAATTAGTTTGAATATTTAATTATTTAAATCTACATAAAATGCTCCTTACTTACATCCAAATTGGCATTTGAAACAGAGCTAGTGTGAAGGATACAGACGTAGAGAACAGCCATGAAGAAATGTGGGATGACTCCTATATGAGCTCTCTTCCTCTCTTTCGGTTCAGTGGCAGTCCAGTACAAAGCATCCAGAATATCCTGACCGAAAGATGAAAACAAGCGATCTGCCACCTAGAGGAGAAAAAGAGAGAGTGTTCATTCTGCTACTGCTAATATAACAGTAACAAATGTGAGTGATGTGATACTGTACCTCCAGCATGTTATAGATGATGTAGAGTTTTATGACAGACTGACCCCGGATCATGTGGTACATCATGGAATAATCCACATAATGCATCATGAAATAACACAGAACCATAATGACACCCTTCAGAACATCACACACCTGAGCGGGCTGCAAGATACGAGATCCACTGCAAATACACACATACACATACATACACACACAAGAAAAAAACATCTTCTGGTTAAATTGGCTCCATAGACATCTGGAATTACGCAATGGAACTTCTTTTAGTTCTTCTATTAGTAGGATCTTCTTCCACACACAGCCACTGGGTTAGTGATCTTGAGTCACACGCTCAGTGGTACGTGCATCATGCTAAAGATTTCACAACACAAGATCAGCAGAGTAAATGACCCACAGACAGATGTTATGAGATCAGTTTTCTAATATATAGTATTAAAAAATTTAGTATTTTTTTAATTAAATTGCTAAATTATTAATTTTAATTCTGAACTGTTAAATGATTTTGAGATAATTAAAATATTTATATAAAAACTGTGAAATTATAAGCTCAATCTTAAAACAGTTCCATTACGAGTTTTACTAAATGATTCGATGTGTCATTATTAAATATGAAACTTGGTAACAATTCATGATTGATTATTTTGGTGTGACACATAATGATTTACATAAATATGCTGAAATCATAAAATGTAATTAGAGAGACCAATAGTAGCAATCCATTGCAGTGGATTACTGACAAGAACAATACAGAAAGCTTTACATTCACAGGCTCAAGAATTGTATTTTAAGTGACTATTTGCTATAGATGTAAATGGCACAGGCACATCGCATAGCTATTTGCACATAAATAGCTGGCAAAAATGCTAATCTGACAACGTCTGAGTGCCTGGCGGGTAAATCATGTGCATTGGTATTTTTGTGTAAATCTGAGCTATTAAAAAATGCACTTTTACACTATTATAATAGCATATGCACTACCTTTCAAAAGTTTGGGGTCAGATTGTTTTTTTAATCAAATAAATTGATACTTTTATTCAACAAGTGACATAAGTGATTTATAATGTCACAAAACATTTCTATTTTAAATAAATGCTGTTTAATTGCATTTTTTATTGTCAGTTTCCACAAACATAAAGCAGCAGAACTGTTTTTAACACCGATAATAATAAGAATTGTTTCTTGAGCACTAAATCTTTAGAAAATTAGACTTCATGGCTTTATATTCTAAAAAAATTATAAATTCTTTTAAAATTATTTTAGATTGTATTTTATCAGTATTACTTATTTTTTACCATATTTTTGATCAAATAAATGCAGCCCTGGCAATCATTTTAGGAAAAATAACATTTAATAAATAAATAAAAAATACTTACAGACCCCAAACTTTTGAAAGGCAGTGTATATTAATATACTATTCTAAAAGTGTTTGTTACTAGACAGATGCACACAGTGTTAGTATTTACACTGGGGTGCTAACAGTATGTTACTATTTAGACTATTTAGTCTTACTGTAAATCAAATCTACGTTCCTACGTAAGAAATGTACTCAGTATACGTTAATGCATGCACTGAATACAATTTACTGAATTTCCATTTTCAGATGCATTTTACAACCTAATAACAACAACATATTACATTAATATTGCATTGCATTAATCATCGTTTCCCCTCTTATCACTGGTTGAAAGTAACCACACTGCCATCCTGTGCCCGATCATGCAAGTACACCTTAAACACTGAAAGGAGAACAGGAGAATTCTGGGAATGATCTCAGATGATTTTAGTAGTCCAGGGTGAAACCAAAGCACAACGGTGCAAAATTAGACAGCTATGGCAACTGCAGCCTAGTGTGTGTGTGTGCATGTGGATGTGTGTTTGAACACAGCCGCTGCAATCATATCAGCACATGTGTGTGTGCTTAAAGCAGCTGCAGTCATTTTTTTCTGCATACCTGCTCTTTTTGCAGTAGGGGCATATACTAGCCCTGCAGGCAGAAGAATATACAGTGAACAGCAGCTACAATCATTTTGGACTTAAGTGTGTGTAGGTATTTGTGTGTATAAAAAAGGTGGACAGCTCAGATGTTTCATTCTGTCAGATTATCAGAATCTTACGAAAGTACTACTTTTGGGAATATTCCTCCATGCATGTCCCGAGTACAGCGTGTGCGTTACCTGAGGCCGCAGCAGGGCAGTGTCAGCAGTCGGATCAAGGCCAGCAACACTCTGAGAGGCAGCAGAGTGAACACGTACAGAAACACATCCAGACACAGGAAAAACCCAAACATCATCAGCTACGGAGAGAGAACAAGAGAGATCAGTTATAGTCCTGGATGTGCTATAACTTACTTCAAAGGCTCCAATATGACAAAAAGCACCATTAAGTTTCATGAAAGTAGTAGATAAAACTTATCCACTATTTGTCATGTATGTTATAGCCTTGTGTGAAGAACAGACTGAAATTTAAGTCATTATTCACAGAAAATCTTGCCCTCCTGATCCAACCATATATACAGCCTTGAGATGCATAATGTTAGGTTTGATAAAAATGAAGTTATGTGACATAATTGTGTCACATCACTAATCCATTCCTTCAATATCAGAAATAATGTCATACAATTTAAAACAAAATAAATACATTTTTAAGTTTTAATAAATAATATTAAAAATACTAAATTATATTTACAGTATAATTAATCTATAATCTTAATGAAACTATATTGAAAATATAATCTATATTTTTACATTTGAGTTTAAATTCGTTTAACATTTTACAAAAAAGTAAACGTAAGCACTGTGGTGCTATAAAAATATCACTCTATTTATTAAGAACCCTGACACAACAACCAATGGAGTGAGTTTGGAACACAAATGTGTTCATAAAATATTTTTTCATTAATAATGCATATATCAAATTTTTTGTAATACTGTTTGGTGGCAGATAAATCAAACACATCAGCTTTAATGCACAGTGAAATAAAGGATGCTGCACTGAAGAGATGAGTGCATGTATTATTTGACTTAGTTATTGTAGTTTTATGCATTTGTGTTTGGTACCTTCTCCAGTTCTTTCGGGATACGCAGGCAGGTGTAGACCCTCTCTCTCCGCTCGGTGTATTTGGCTTCATTGTGCTCCAGAAAATATCCTCTAGTCAACTCAGCACTGATAAACCTCACCAGAGAGGGATCTGCACACAGACACACAAATAAACACACACATGAATGCGTAGGCCAGCACAATGAAAGCATTTTACTCATTATTTAGCACTATCCTGTATCCTGTAAACACACGAGTGTGTGAAAGAAAGAGGTTGAATAAACAAGTGTACGAGCATAAACCTCTGTCCATTTCTCTCATATACACACAGCAAATCATGTTCCGCTATAAAAATACAGAGTTTTTTTGTAACCTAAAGTGGGTTTCAGAAGTTTAAGTCCACTTGTTTTAAAAAATAAATTTGGATTTTAGAATTTAGTTTTCCCAACATAAGATGGTAGATTTTAATTTTTAGATCATTCTGATCATTTACTAATAAAACGAATGAGTAATTTACTTTCTATTGTGCTCTATTTTAAAACCTGTTTTAAATTGCAGGTTAATTTAGTACTCATGCTGTGTTCACTGTAACACTAAAATAATTCAGTGTTTGTAATAGGGTTGCAAAGGGGTGGAAAATTTCCGGAAACTTTCCAAAAATCCCTGGAATATTCCAAAAATCCTGGAAAGTTTCCAAAATTTCTGGAATGTTTCCGAAATTTACTGGAAATTTTCCACCTTTTTGCAACCCTAGTTTGCAACCATCTGCAATAATGGAGAAAGGTTAAAACAAAGCAAAACGAAACAAAAAAACTAAAAAAAAAAAAAAAATGAAACAAAACAAAATGCTGAGGCTCCCTGTTTATTCATTTGGAGCCATTTCTTTCGAGTAGAGATAAAGTGCATATGTTTTTGAGCTAAATTGTTTATTTTGCATTTTTCAAAACTTTTAACTTTGTTTACATTTAAAGTTTACATTTAAATCCCAGATTTTCCAGATGTGGACATCATTGTCCAAACCTAAAAACTACATCTTCTCACAAATCCACAATAAGCACATTGTCTTCCCATTATGTTTATAATACTACAGCAGTAAAAGTTCTGTGATTTGATTAGGAACATCGTTGACACAGTTGTTGTGTGATGATGGTAGTACACACTTGATTTACAACAGGGCAGCTAAGTGACATAAAAGATCTATTTAAGCAGCACAGAAAGCGCTGGACGGCTTTTAGGGCATGTTTATGTTGACCTAAGGCCAAATGTGTTGTGATAAGGGCAAGACAGCGTCCTGAGATGAACAGCACACATTGTGAATGCGTTCTGTGGCCAACACACACAGTACTTACTTTCTATTTTTAACAGTAACAGAGACGGATACACTTGAGGATGAACACAGTGAATGGGAAAACAAACAGAGAGTGGACAGAAAGAGCGAGAGAGCTAGAGAGATAACAGCTTCTGCTGTGTGTTTCAGTGTCTTGTAACTGAGTTGTATGATAAAATGACTAAATGTATCATCCAGTGAACATGAGTTCATGACAACGTCTAAAAGCTTTTGACAAGAAAAAGGAACAATAGAGAAAAGAGGTTCTTGTTTCATACATTATGTACAATTAAAATGAGATTGTTTGGATACATTTTGGCTTCCTGTGTTCTATATAACTCAGGAACTTTTTTTGTCAACTGAACCCCTTTTGGCAAAACATATTTACATGAAGTACCCCTTGAGAGTTTAAGTTAATATTTCAATAATCATAGCTTTAAAACACTGAATATGGTTTTTCAGTCTGTATATACAGGTTTCCTCCAATGAATTTCTATGACTTTTCCAGGCATTAATAAGGATTGTTTTATTTTATAAAGATGAATATCAATTTTTATAGCCAATTAAATACATATGAGATCTTATATTTGGATCTTATTAATTTACATGAATTTTTCCAGGCAGGGAAATCACAATTTGGACCCACTTTATATTTGCTATGTACTAACATTTAAATTAATCAGTTGGTACTTACTCTGTATATACATGCTTTTACGCTGCACTTTTTATATAAAAAAAAATAAAATAAAAATACAAGCATTTAATTACATCTGCAATTAACCTCCGTAATTATATCTACGACTCACACCTCAACAGCAGCAAAAGTGTTTTGCAATACAACATGAACACAATATGTAAATTGCATTAATAATTCATACACATTCAAATATGAATATGAATCAACGTTTTATGATATTTCTTTACGTGCATGATAAAAAACTACCTATAATGCATTACATAATGATGGAGTTATGGTTTCTAAGCTCTACTCGTGTAAACAGATCTATGACAACACACCAGCTTTATTCTCAACAACACTAGCAATTTTATTAATATATGGTGAATATATGTTATATGAGGTTATTATGAATAGAAGGTTCAGTGTGCTTCCATTTGTTGAATAAATGTCAATGCAAGCGCATTAATGATGGTGATGATTTCAGGGAAGATGCTGATGCAGCTCAGGTCTTTATTTACATCTTCACACCTGATCAGCTGATTTGATCCTCGCGCTTCTAAAGTTAGTCTCATTATACAAGCGGCTGAATGGGTCACGTGAGCCACACTGGTATTTACGGTCCCTTTAAATAAACCGATGGACGCCCAACTATCTGATCTCGTTAAAGGTAACGTTAAATAAGCACTAGTGACTGATGATGCTTCAGACAGTATTGATGCAAACAGCTCTATGTGTGTCTGTTTCAAACCCTGTCTATTTAGACAGTATTTCGGTGCGTTCTAACGTTTAAATCAAACATTGCCTACCTAGATCTTCCTAATGTGTTTATCATGATGCCCAAACATGCTGTCTATATACAGTAGGTTGAAAACAGCGTACTGAGCCGCTGTCTGTCACTCGTACCTGACACATTGCTCTTTCTCTCTTTGTATTTCGCCTTCCTCTCGTAAAATCCCAGAGTTTCTGTGAGGTCTGATGCGGCGGCTTGTTCCTCCGTCTTTCTGACGCCGCTGAAGAGTCGTTTCTCCCTTTCCTTATCCTCATTTTCGGTCTCGTTTTCGTCCGCAAGTCCAGCCGCTACTGAGTCCGCCATCTTCCCCGCAGACACAACATTCATGCGTCACGGCGTACGTCACGACGCATGACTACAATTCCCATAATGCAGCTGGTAAATATCATAAACATACAAGCAAACCCTCTAAACTGTGTTTTAATAATTTACTCTTCTTATGTCAGTTTGGACAGTTCTTAGAGTATAGGTCTAAAGTCAAATTTACGGCGTTTTGACAGCTGGGTAGATTATTTGAAAATTGTAGTCCATTACTGATTCCAAATTACATGACAAAAATTGTAGTTAGTAACGTAATTCATTACATTACACATTTTAGGTAATATAATCAGGTCCCTATACTAAAGTGTTACCACGCTTTCTAAAAAAGATGAAATATTTTATTTGTTTACCTGCATGTCATGTGAACTGTGAACACACAAAACCATGTTAAATAACCACTGAATGATTCAAATAAAAATAAATTAGTGTTCATCAATAGTTGATGCAATATTGAAATGTCTTAAAACTGAAATCATTTTGTAAATCCAGTGGTCAGATGCTGTGTGGCCTCTCAGTTTTCTGTGTAATTAGACACCTGTTAGTGACTGTTTTTTGTGTGAATGTCCACAAAACTGGAAGACTTTCTGAGTGCATATAAATTATGAATAATTCATTGCTATTGTGTGAATAATATCATGTAAACAATAAAATAGCAACTGTAGTCTGATAACGAGTATTTTAAAATGTAATTTAATCTAATTACAAGTACTTAATTTTTGGAATCTGATTACGTAATCCAGATTACATGTAATCATTTACTACCCAGCTCTGCCCGTAGGAAACATTAAAATATGGATTGGGATGTTTTCAGAGGTACTTAATAAGCCACGTTCAGTTCCATATGACTCGGATTATGCAATAAACAAAACAACTTCTGACATAACAGCAACAACAGAACAGAATGCTCCTGCACACGTCCCTTTCCCTCGAGTCGAGCAGCAAGAGCAGAAAAGCAACTTTTCAGTGTCAAAATAATATAACAACATAAATTTACAAATGTTAAAATGGCAGTTTACACAGAAATGAAAATTCTGTCATTATTTATTCACCCTCATGTCGTTTCAAACCTGTGTGACTTCTTTTGAGAAATGTCCCAGTATTTTATTATTATTATTATTTTATTTATTTTGCACATATAATGGAAGTCAATGGTCTTCAATACTGTCTGGGTACCAACATTTCTCAAAATATATTAAAGAAAGAACGTCATATAGGTTTGGAACAATGTGAGGATTAATAAATGACAGAATTTTAATTTTAGGGTGAACTTGTACCACATTTCTTTGACCACTAGAGGGGGTGAAATATTCAGATATTTATTTATGCATTATTTATTTATTTATTTTGGTATTAAAGGGTTGGTTCACCCAAAAATGAAAAGTAGCTTGTGTTTTACTTACCCTCGAAGCATCCTAGGTGTATATGACTTTCTTCTTTCTGTCATACGCCTTCAGCCGGAACGGATCCGCGTATGACAGATAACGGAAGTGAGAGAAAAGTGTTTATTACATTGAAATATGGATATTTTTCTTACAAAAACTCATGGATTCGCTACAGGGGGCCTTTATTCACCCCCCGGAGCCATCTGTGGCACGTTTTATTATGAATGCACGAGCTTTATTTGACGACTTGTGGACTGTTCAACTGCAACACCCGCTGACTGCAATGATAGAGCTTGGAATAGCCAGGACAATTTTTAATATAACTCCGACTGGATTCGTGTGAAAGAAAAAAGTCATATACACCTAGGATGCTTCGAGGGTAAGTAAAACACAAGCTAATTTTCATTTTTGGGTGAACTAACCCTTTAACGTCATAGAATTAAAAACATAGCTTTGCCACTTTTTAGATTACAACTATAAAAACACTCTGTGCCCTCGATTATTTTATTTTTTATAACACATTAACACACAGAGTCTGATGTCATAACCAAACACATTTTATTAATGCAAATGATTGAAAACCATACATAAAATACACAACTAACAGCACAGATCTGCATGTGTTTTACAATATGCATTAAACTTTAGAACAATAAAGATATCTGCATTTATGCTCACAATGGGACTTTTTTCATTAAGTTGTTGTAGCGAAACCAAACAGTACGGTACAGATTAAAGCCGAGACATTCACTGAGCTTTAAAAAAGGCTGAAAAATGCTGATATGAAATGAACTGATAGATCTGTATATTTACAAGGCTTGCAGTTGTTGTTTTTTTCTTTTTTCTTTTTTTGGAATACTTAAACTAAATGGTTGAAGCTGTATGTCTCAAGTATGGAATACCGTGTCACACCAACATAAACGCAAGCATGCACACACACCTCTCTCCAGCAATTTCTCCTCTATAGATGAAAATACCCCCATCCCTTGACAGCACCGTTGCCATAGCTACCCACTGTCAGATAACATTACTCCAACTGCTGCATTGCCATGGTATCAGGCTTACTGTCCTGGTTGCTAGGGTGCTGGCCGTTCCAGGAGCTGCCATTTCCAAGTGTCGGTGAGTCGGTGTAGTCATGGAGACCGTCATCATGGAGACCGTTGACGGGGTCGTATTGTTCGTTCTCTAGGCGTGTGATCAAACGCTCGTCCACGTCACCCAACTCCCCTCCCATTAGAGAGGGCTCTCCTACCACCATCACATCCTACAGCGAGAGAGAGAGAGAGAGAGACAGCGAGAGAGAGAGAGAGAGAGAGAGAGAGAGAGAGAGCGAGACAGAGCGAGAGAGAGAAAGAGAGAGAGCGAAAGAGAGAGCGCGAGAGAGAGAGAGAGAGAGAGAGAGCGAGAGAGAGAGAGAGAGAGAGAGAGAGGGGAGTAGAAAGAGAGAGAAAAATGACAGAAGCAGAATAATTTATGGCTGTTATTTTCCAAAACCTGAACTTGTAATATAGCTAATGCAAGCATAGAGTAGAAAATGTGCAAAGAAAAAGTGTATAATAATGAATATATTTACATATATAGAAAAACGTGGCATACACACAAGCTTTGTTAAATACGCAGTCATACACACACATGCACACAAACTTGTCTCCAGACACTAGCTCTTTGGTCTTTAATTAGATTTTTTTTTTCAGACAGAGAACACCTAAATAACAACATATGTGCTAATTAAGCAAATTTGCATTGCTAAGTAGCTCGTTAAGACAGCACATGCTGCGTGATAACTGTCTGCATGTGTCACTCACCTAGCTAAGCTCCGCCTCCAGCCACCCGCCACCCCTCGTTTCCCCGGCGACACGTTTAGGCTGGGGACCAGAGACGGACAATACTAATTATCATCAAATCAATTACGGCTAATTAGTCTCAATTAAAAAACAAATTAATCAGAGTAGACAAATTAATATATATATATTTTTTAAATACTCTAACATTACAAATTACAATTACACTGGAAACTGATTGTTACTTATTATAAACAGTAAAACAATATAATTCAGGTATTGATTTGAAATGTAATAATGCATTGTATAGAAATATTACAATATGGGAAAAATAAGTCCTTCCCTCTCTGAACTGCTTTATGTTATTTCTACACACACAAACACACACACACACACACACACACAAGTACAGACATCCAGACATCCATATATTAATTTTAGTTTATCTCCCTTATATGATCTTTTCAGTGTGGACCACTGCTTCTCTGCAAGTATGTATGTGACTGCGTCTGTGTTCAGAATGGAATACTTGCTTACTATGTACTGAATACTGTGCAGTATATACTTAATTTTACAATTTGCAGTTTTCACGTAAATTTAATTCGGTGAATGCTGGAGAGTTAAATGTGCTCTTAAAAAACATATCATTATTATTTAGCATTTTGATTCCAATGTTGTCATTCATAAATAAATAAATAATCTTAGCTTTTGGTCGTCCAAAAAATCTGTTGTGACTAATATTACTTTATCCATAACACTGAAAATGAAAGGCCACATTGAACACATTCACAAATTGGTTAAAGTTGGTCCAATTTTTGTGGCATTTAAAAATGATATGAAACTATTTTGTTTCAATACTTAAAGCAGCTGAAAAAAAGGAAAAAAATATTATTTTGATTAAGTTTCATTTAATTTACATTATAATTTGCTTTTATATTTTTCGTTATTTATTATTTGTAAGCAGTGTTGGGTGTAATGCATCACCAAGTAATTAATACTGTCATTTAATTACTTTTCCCTTGAAAAAGTAAAGTAAGGGATTACTCTGAATTTTTCCTTAGTTTAATTACACTTACTTCAATGTACAATGTAATTGCATTAAATACTGTATAGACTACAGAACAAATCTATTTAACATTAAAATGTAACATCTAATGTTAAAAGGTATATTTTTAATGTAACTCTCACCCTGGTCAGTTCAAGAATAATTTACGCAATTTTATATTTTTTAATTAATTAAAATTGCAGTTTCATGTCTATCCTTGTATTATTCAACTGGTCGAGGTTAATATGGGATTTTGGAAGTAATTGGTTATATGTAATGCAATACTTTTTAGAGAGAGTCATTAGTGCAGTAATCTAATTATGTAATTAGTAGCTAGTCATTACTTTTTAGCGTAACTTGCCCATCACAGTTTGTAAGTAATTGCTTTGATTTAATTTTTTTAGATTGTGTATGTTTTATTTTAATTATATAAAAATATTTTTTTTCTATCAATGTATGCTGTTTAGATTTATTGTTGGTGTTCAACAGTGATAATGCCTTTTTGTTATTTGAGGAGCTTTAATAAAGGTTGAACACAGTGGATCGTGGGATACAGTACTCCACGGAGTAAGCTCTGTTCTGCAGCCCACTGCACATTTTAAGTCATCATTACTTTTTAGCGTAACTTGCCCATCACAGTTTGTAAGTAATTGCTTTGATTAAATTTTTTTAGATTGTGTATGTTTTATTTTAATTATATAAAAATATTTTTTTTCTATCAATGTATGCTGTTTAGATTTATTGTTGGTGTTCAACAGTGATAATGCCTTTTTGTTATTTGAGGAGCTTTAATAAAGGTTGAACACAGTGGATCGTGGGATACAGTACTCCACGGAGTAAGCTCTGTTCTGCAGCCCACTGCACATTTTAATCTGTAGTTGAGCTGTGTATCCTGAGCTCACAGAAAATTAGCATACTGTCCAAATTATACATACTACACACTGCAGCAGCAACAGTAATAGTAGTATGGCAGTAAGGTATATATACATTCCGAACATAGCCTTAGTGTAAACATCTGTGTGTATGTGATGAACCTGTGAGGGAAGGCTGAAGTTATTGGCTGGGCTGCGCTTCTTGCTGTTTCCTGTGCTGCTATTGGTACCAGCTGAGTTCCTTTTCCTTCGTCTCTTTGTTGCTGGTTTAGCTGGCTCTGCTGTCAATCAAAACATAAATACGGCATAATGCAAAATGAATCAACATTGCATTCCATGCATGTTGTAAAACGAGTGAAAACAGAGTGAACGTGTATAGATGGTCCAAAATACACAGATATCTTATATACTGTACTTACATACTTCAGATATACTGTATATTTTAAAACGCTAAGCAATACCGCAAATGAAATCAACAAAAGAGTGGTGGAGGACTAAACAAAGGTCATAAGATATTGTGATTAAGATGTATGCAGGAGAACAGAAACAACTTTGGTTTGCATTTCATGAAAAAAAAGTGTTTGTTTTATATATAAGGCTTCAGTTTTGAGTAAATGAAATGGCTTTGCCGTTGTCATGACACTGAGTATGTGTCTCGTTTTTCAGTCAGCTGCACACAGGAATCATCACATAGGCTGAATTAGGAATAGCATTCTAGCACAGTACTCATACATAAAGGAGTACAGTAGTATACTATTTTGAATTCAGCCATAGTGCAGTGCTTTGCGCAGTGAAAACTGCAAGATCAGTCTCAAATTTACTATGCAAAAAAAAGAAGACAAATCACAATACAGTATGCAAATATTGCATCACTGCAGTTGGTTACATTTTGAATGCAGAAGATTCTAGCAGTATCAGTAGGACATTTTATTGGATTGATTCAGTTCAGGTTGAATCAAATGTTTTTATAATTAAATATTTAGAGTTATGAGTATGGAAGAAACCCTAACCTCAATGTCTGAGGAACTGCCAAAAAATGCATAGATGAGCATACATACATTTTTTGGAATTAGAGGGAAATATTTCTGTCTTGAAGTTGGGCGGGGGTCCAACTGAAATTAAAGAAAGTAATAACAAAAGACCATTAATAGTCAAAAGACATCACTTTTCCATCATTCAAAAGCAAATATTAACATTTCCTAAGAACATTTCAGTAAATAATAGTGAGGATGAGAAAAAGAGAGGAACAATGAAAGAGAGAGAGAGAGTTGCCTGAGAAGAACAATGCTATTATTGTTCAGTCAAAGTGAAGGAATTATTGTCATAGAACAGCAGGAGGTAGTTTTTTTTTTTTTTTTTTTAAAGCAGTACAAATAAAAAAAGCACTTAAATAAAAACACAAGGTCAAAGCCTCCATTAATTACTGCAGATCACAAAACCCTTAACAGCCTGCGCTCAGTACTTTGAAATGTTAATAAGGAATATGAAATATGTTTACAATGTACAAACTACTGTAAATTTAATGACATTGTGTAGCTCTTAAAGAGGAGAACAACAGAAAGAAATTAAACGCTGGGGGGAAAGAGTAGCTAAACAATGCTGGTGTTTCTGTACTAATCTTTCATGACAGACTGTACTTAAGAGAGAAAGAAAGCTAAGAGGAGCCATGAAAGAGATCTAATGAAGAATGTAGAACTCAAGCTAAAAAAATAACATTTCTGTTGCTTGAAATAAAATAAATGTTAAGGCTGGAATACACTACATTACTTTCGCCCCGATTGATGATTTTAAAAGTCGTGTAGTGCATTCCAGCCTTTAATTGAAATAACATGAAATATGAAAAAATTTAACTTATTTTATTTCAGCTAGATGCCAAGACAACAATTCTCATTTTCATTTAGCTTAACTTGATATACCAAAATATCTAAAACTGAAATAAAAAGTAATAAAATATAGACATTATATATGTATTTAAAATATTAATAATAATAAAAAAGACAAAAACACTCAACAAAATTAATAAAACTTTAACTAAAATTATAATGGGAAATAAGAAAAATTAATTCAAAATATTAATAAAAAAATGATATTGCCTCTGTGATACTAAAATAAGAGAGAGGAGTGTGTGTGTGTGTGTGTGTGTGTGTGTGTGTCTGTACCTGGTATTCCCTACGTTATGGGGACCAAATGTCCCCACAAGGATAGTAATACCAGTAAATTTTGACCTTGTGGGCACATTTTTTTTCCGCTCCCCATGAGGAAACAAGCTTATAAATCATACAGAATGATGTTTATTTTTTTTTAAATGTAAAAATGCTGAAAGTTTTGTGTGAGGGGTAGGTTTAGGTGTAGGGTTAGGATAAGGGGATAGAAAATACAGTTTGTACAATATAAAAACCATTACGCCTATGGAATGTCCCCATAAAACATAAAAACCAGTGTGTGTGTGTGTGTGTGTGTGTGTGCGTGTGTCTGTGTGAGAGTGTGATTGTGAGTGTGAGTGTGTGTCTGTGTGAGTGAGTGAGAGTGAGAGTGTGTGTGTGTGTGTGTGTGTGTGTCTGTCTGTCTGTCTATCTATATATTGGCAGTCTCTGGGACTCAGTCCATATGTCTTATGCCTAGACATGAGCTCCTGCATGGGCTCTAGAATCACACACAACTGCACACAAGCAAAAGAACCATGTCACTCAGTCGTTTAACACATTTAAATGACCATCGGCATGAGAGTGGTTGTGTTTGTATGTGTGTTTTCGTTATAGAAACATACTCTGAGGTAGTTCAGTGTGAGGTTGGTAAGTCCCACTCGACTGATGTTTTTGGACAGTTGTTCCAGAGCTCCAGGGTCTTGTGCCTGACAAACACACACATGGACACACGAGTCCATTTATTCTCTCTCTCTTATTTTGTGCTCCATCCAGATAGAGCTATAATTCTTTACAGGATATGTTTCCATAGCAACATCCTGACAGCTTAGCTAAAAGGTTTGGATGCTTTCACCTTGATTGATAAAAAAGGGCTGAAATGCATTTTGTTGTACCAAAACCAACTAGCTGTGAATGTATCTGAAAATACCTGAGTTTGCTAACATGCCAAACAAATTCACGGTGAACATAACCCACATAACTGAGGAATTCAGATTATCTATAAAACAACAAATGAGTTTTTGATTATTCTTGAATGAAAACAATGCAAAGTAATATGTTAATCCACAATGTAGGCTATAAAAGTTAAAAACTTCACTCTGATGCAGCAATACTGCAGTTATATAAGCGGCACTAGGCTCATGTGAAGAGAAACTGACTTGTGAGAATAATATTTAACACACACACTCACACAGTATCGGAAATAGTGTTTTACTCATGTTAACAATGACTGAGAGTATGAGTCACACAAAAAATGACTGACGCCAGGAGAAGGAACCTAATTTACACAAAAAGTATTTGACAGACATTTTTAGCAAAGAATTTGACAGACATTTTTATCCAAAGCAACTTACATTGCACTCAAGAATTAAAATGAACCATTAACACACACCCTGGCGATCGAGTTACAGCTTCTCCACTATTTTATTTGCTATTTAAGTTACTACTAGAAATACTGTATGCTGCATATTATAGCATGCAAAACAGTGTGCAGCATGCAATAATAAATATTTCAAATTGTTGCTACATTTTTGCCAAATGACCTTATATTTAGTTCAGTTATGTCTGAAAATTAAAATAACAATAAATGTACATTATTAATCAAATTTAAAGTAAAGTTTAATTAAAAATGTAAGAAAATAAAGATACATCCTTATGCTTGGAGGTATGATCAAACCATAAGTCACAAGCGTGTACTGTGTTTGAATAAAAAACTATATAGCAGCACTGCATATTTTACAATATGCAATGAAAATTGCCTACCATTCAAATGTTTGGGGTCAGTGAGATTGTCACGATCACCAGCTGGAGTGCCCTTGATAACTCCCATACCTCTGTCACGCTACCCTGGACTGCATATCCCATAACCCATTGCCCGGACTCCTCATGCCTGATTGTTTTCACCTGTTGCTCATTACATCTGCCTATATAAGCCTGGTGTTTTCAGTCACTCTTTGTGAAGTCTTGCATGTGTCACAGTGGCAGTTCTAAGCCTTTTATCCTGGTTCTTGATGTTCTGCCTGTTTGTCTCGGTTACTCTGTTAGCCTCAGCCCTGAACTCTGTCATTGTTTGGACTGCTTATTGTGTTCGACCTCATGCTGTTTTAACTGTGATTGTGGATTGTCCCTCTAATACACTACTGCACTTGCATCTTCAGCCTTCGTGTCCCCGTGCAGTTTTGTGACAAATTCTTTTCTTTTTATTTTTTTTAAAGAAATTAATATTTTTATTCCGCAAGGACACATTAATTTGTCCAAAAGTAACAGTAAAAACCTTTATATTGTTACAAAAAATTATATTTCAAAGAAATTTCTATATCAAAAATTGCCCCTAAAAATGTGACAGTTTGCATAAAAATATGAAGCAGCACAACAGATTTCATCATTGGTGATGATGCTGAAAATTCAGTTTTGATCACAGCAATAAATTGCATTTTAAAATACATTAAATAGGAAAACAGTTATTTTAAATTGTAAAAATATTCACAGTGTTACTGTTTTTTGAGCTGTGACTCTTGGCAGTCCATTAAAATTTTAAATGTAGTTTTATTTCATTTTAGTAATCAAGATAGAGCTATTAAAATTGTTGCTGATATTTCTTCTGCTTCATCTGCTGCAATGGGAATCAAAGGTCAAATCTAGCACATTGCATTATGGGATACAGTATTCAAAACAGTGTGCTCTGTTATAAGCTGCAAATTCTGGCCAGAAGGTCATCCTGGTAGCATATAATTTTGTGTGGAAATTTTTTATTTTTTTTATTCACATAAAAAGTAACTCACATTTACAGCCAAGACACTGCGAGGAATGAGTTCACTGTAGTGTGTGATAGTGAAGTGCCATGTTTTGATTCTCATGAGGTCATCAAAGGTGAACACAAGAATTAGACGGCCTTCTGTACACACCTGTGGAAAAAAAACAGGAAGAGAATCAGGTCTGTGTGGAAGTTTGTTTTTCGCCACTGAATAAAAAAGAAAAAAGGTAAATGTGACTTTTTACCTCACAATTCTGAACCGCAATTGCCAGTTATAAAGTCAGAATTGTGAGATATAAACTATTAGTTTACTATTATTACTATTGAGATAGAAACTAATGAGTCTTTTTTCCCCTTAGAATTGGACTTTGTATCTTACAGTTACGAGTTTGCGAGTTTTACCATTCTGAGGAAAGAGACCAGAACTGAGATATAAACTTGCAATTGTGAGAAAAAAATTTTTTTTCTTTTTTCTTGCTTCTTTATTGCAAGTTTATATCCCGCAATTTAGAATTTTTTTGTAATTGCAAGTTTATAACTATAAATGATGACTTTATAACTTGAGTTTATATCTCACAATTTTGACTTTTTTTCACAATTGTGTGTTTATATCTCTAAATTCTGACTTTTCTCTTCCAATTGCAAGTTGATATCACACAATTCTGAAAAAAAGTCAGAATTTTTAGATAAAAAGTTGCAATTACCTTTTTTTTTTCTTCAGTGAAGTATACATCATGTGTGTGACTGTCCTTTACACCCTTCAGTTTGCTTGTCATTCAATTAACACTTTTAAAAAATAAAAAATAAACTTTCATAATATAATAAGACACCACACACAGAACATAGACATCATTTTTACAGTCGTCTTAATTATCTTGTATCTTCTGAAATCATAACACCGACTTGACCAGTGCACAACATGTGAGAGAATTACTTCTAATTACTTTTTGTTTTTCATTAATTTAAAACAAATCAAATGATACAGTTCTCTCATTAAAGCAGCATTTTCAGCACAAGCAGGATTCTGTGTGCAACTCTGAACCCCAACATTCTGTTGCCGGGGGAACGGAGGGTAGCTGCGAGGTTGGCATAGCAACGGGAGGGATGTAATCCCAGCAGACACGCTCTGATCAATGCCTCCAGTACACACACACACACACACACACACACACACACACACTTGGGAACTGTATCTGTGTAGCTACAGTCTTCCAAATCGATATTTAATTCACAAATGTTCATTTACTAAAAAGCAAAGTTGGACAAAACTCTCTCTCCCTCTAACTGACAATTGAAAGATTCTGCATCATAATGGCGTACCGTATGAATATTGCATAGGACACTCAGAAAATCACACGTTATGCTGGTTTTGCTAACACGACAGCTTTGGGAACTCAGTATTAATCTGATACTAATTATATAAGCAAGAGCATATACTTGCTTAAAGACAATATATGAGAGAACTAGCAGACTTTTCACCAAGAACATCCTACAATTTTAGAGCTAAAGCTATAGGATAGAAAAAAGAGAAGCAGTTTTTGTGGATGAGGGAGGGAGGGAGGGTGTATGAGAGAGAGAGAGTGAGGAAGAAACGAGAAAGAGCAGGAGGGAGCGGGAGAGAGTGGGGGTTACATTTTCCTTTTTTGTTTTGTGCAGTTCCAGCCCAGAATTCACAATGAGGAATACATTAGTGCTCCAAATGAGGAAGCAAAGGCTCACTGAGCCAGACTTGTGCGTGTGCGTGCAGTACCTTAGTGAACGTAGGTTTGCCGTGTTGTGTTGTCATAGTACAGTGATGAGAGTCGACAGTAATAGTTGAGTTGTTGAATGACTCCTTTGTTTGTTTCAGCTCGAAAAACAACTCATAGACTCCTCCTTCGAACAGAGAACTGAAGTAACGAGGGATCAGGGTGCGCCCGATGGCTGGGATTGAGAGAAACATATGTGGAGATATCAGTTGCAGTCGCTGATTACAAAACGGAAGGAAAACAATGGTATAGATGCAGAGATCTTTATTTATTTATGCCCATATGATGAAAGAGACTCAAAGTTGGGCGACACACTGGCCGAACACCTTAACCGGCGACCGTCAATGTGTGTGTGTGTTGTGTGTCTCTGTGTGTGGTCCCCTAAGAGTTAGAAACAAACAGGCTACTGAATGCCGCAGGCGTTAAGTCCAGCAGACTGCGCGCGCGCTCAGAACAGTTAGTGCTCTGGAGCTGTCAATCACTGCAGTAGAGGTGTGTGAAGTCTGCAGGCCCATATTTATTTGAACACCCCAGACCTGTCAATCAAATCTCACCACATACACAGTGAATAAGGAATGAATGAGAATGAGTGAAATCCAGCACAACTGTGTCCCTGTCTAACTCTAAACAGGCTGAAATTCATCTAAATTCAAACTTTGCTTCAGAAAGAGATAAGAGTGAGCGAGATTTTCTGTATAGATTTTCTGATATCAAAAATATTTGACACATTTCTTAAAGTACATGTGTGCTCACAGATCTAATTCTCATTTATTTTATTTTTTATAAGGAATCATTACTATGATCACGTGTATACCGTAATTTCATCCTATTTTGATGTTTACAAGTTCAGTTCATTTTATTTATAAAGCACAATAAAACAACAATGGTTGACCATTGTGCTGAACAATATCATTTAAAAGAAATCAAAGTACATAAAATAATGTCAAGACAGACAAACAAATAAACTAAATCCACCGAAACCCAAACTCAAGGATGTAACTGGGAAAATGTCCTTAAAAATCTAGTTTAAAAGTGCCAAGTTCTTACTCGGTGTATTTCTAGTGGTTTTGTATGTTTTTGAACAAATGTAATGAATTTAAAAATGTCAAGTAAAACGTAATAACAGTTTATTTACACCTTGAATTTGAATGTACGCATCTGAATCATTATTTTCAAAAATGTTTAAAGATAAAAAGTATTTTTATGAATATCATACATTATTAATTAATTTATAAGTATAATAAAGTTTTTCACTCCGCATGCCATTTTATAACCTGAACTAACCTTTCATGTCATAAAAAGGTTAAAATAGTTCATTTTTAAAAAGACTTACCGACTTAGGGATCCTCTCTATAATATAATTTTCTGTTTTATGTTTTGGTGTTTTTTGGCAATATTTTTAAAAATATGAATAAGCAGGGCAGCAGTTTTGTAAAAAAAAAAAAAAAAAATCCCAAGAAATAACAATACAAGATTACAGTAATGAATATCATCCTTTTTTTTTCTTTATTCTGATATTTGGACAGTTGAATCATCCTGTTTTTTTTTTTTGTGCACATAAAATACATTTAAAGCCAGAAACTAAAAACATTAGTCACTGTATGTATGTACTGTATTTTTACTGTTTTTATTTTCATAATTAAAAAATGTGTGTGTCATGTCATTGACTCAACCAATTGTTAGATATATAGGGGGACAAGAAGTAAAACATGAAGAATCTGCCATTAAAACTCATACACTCTATATATTCTCGGTGAGTTCATATAGTCATATACTCTATGGTTATGGCTCTGCACACACTTACTGTATGTCTTTGGCCCCTCCTCCAGGCAGAATGAGAGAGTCAGTGTGGCGTCTTCTTCAAAGAACTCAGTGCAGAATGCATCCCACCACAGAATATCACAGTCCTGTGGGATCACACATTAACACACATTTAACACTGTGTGAGACCGAGGAGAGGCACAGAAGGACTTGGCCTCTGAATGACCATAATGAGGCCTGGCACAGTGATTATCATTTCAAAGCTTTCTGTTTATTATAAACACACACCCAAGTTGACTCTCCCCATTAAAGGCAGCAATTTACACCACAAATCCAGCCAACTACCGCTGGCCTGCTATTGAGATTCACTTGATTGTATTGGGCTTTATTATAGCAGCCCATAAGCCACAATAAACTGTATTTTGACAGCTCTTGCACTTCAGTCTTTGTGTGTTATAACCGTGTGAGTGTGAGAAAGGGGTGTTTCTATAGGTCATCATTTCAATAGTTCGGTCTCTCTTAGCGGTATCTGTCAAATTATTATGACTCCAGGTGTGCTGAACAGCATTTCATACCTCTGCTGATACATTTTATTTCCCCCCACTTATTCACATTGCTTTTTCTGAGTGTGGGCAATATTTTAAAAGTACTATTTATTGTGGATTATTTTTGCACACACACACCAACGGCAGCAGGAGAAGCAAATATTAACACAGCTTCACAGCTTGCGCTGCAGTTTAATC